AGTTCTAAGCATAGAGTTCAATTTTTACAAACTGACTGCACCCATGGAACCAGCACCCGAGAGTCAGAGCACGGCCTGGACCCCAGGGCTTTCCTTATGCCCCTCTAGTCCCTGACACAATCCCCTCCAATATCTCAGACTAGCTTTGTCCAAAGAACTTGTTTTTACCATGATATGCAGTTAGCTCTCAGGCTGGGACCTTGTAAACATCCAGGAGTAAAATGCAGAGAGATGGTTGGACTAGCATGGTGACTGGGAACAGGACCGGTATCCACCACACCTTGCTTTTGTGAGGATGACTCAACCTCTGTAAGGCCGACCCTCCTCTCCAGAAAAAGGAGACATGACGGACCTTTGTAGGAATAAATGAAATACCGTATGTAAACCTACCATGGTGCCTGGCACAGAGTTACTCTCTCAGGAATAGGTGCTGGCAAACTACAGCTTCCTGTTTTACAAAGTTTTACTGGAACACAGGCATACCTATATGCTTATATATTGTCTGCAGCTGCTTGTACACAGGCCAGATCTCAGAGTTGCTGCAGAGACTGCATGGCCTGCACAGTCTACAGTATTGACTATCTGTCCCTCTACAAAGAAAGCGCACTGATCCCTGCTCTAGAAAGGGGGTCGCATGCACTGCTGTACACACAGAGACAGAACACCCCAGCACACAGTGAGTACTCACGCGGTGACTTTTACTGGCATGGTGTATACAAATAAAAGCCTACTTTTAAAAGTCATCATTAGTGTTTTTTTGTTTTGTTTTGGTTTTGGTTTTTTGCACTTAACCATGTTCCTAAACGATATTCTAAGGAAGGGGTGAAATCATAAAAAGCAAGCTTAATTAAAATTTTTTTTTTCTTTAAAGAAGTCAGCTCAGGAGGTACGTAGAAAGATCAATGGGTTTGAAAATCCTAGCAAAAGGGAAGCACCCATGGTTTACTCAGGCATTGAATGTGGAGTCAGAAGAACACTTAGGATCCTGGCTCTGCCGTTAGCTAACTGGTAGATCCAGACAGGAGAAACAATTCTCAGAATCTTAGCACCCTCAACTATGGAGTGCAAAGATGCCACTACCGATTCCTGGTAGAAAAAGGCAGCTCCAGCAGGCCTGGATAGAACAAGACAGGAGTCAGGAAGGCTATCGGGAGTGTAAGGTAATTCAGGCAGGCAATGGGCAGGGTTGTTACAAATAATGAGAAATCTATCTTCAGGTGTTTTGAGATGAATATTTTAAAGTGAAATAAGTCCATGAAACAATGTTTCACAGAATGTGCTACATTATAACTGTTTCCTGGACTCTCTTACTAAGCCTGCATTCCTAATAAATGGAAACACACCTTCTTCTTGCCAGCTGTCACTTTCTCTCAGATCCATGTGATGTGTGATGCCTGATACAGTGTAGGCTCACAATAGTTGTTAGATGAACACACGGATGCAGAACGAGATCTGGCAGGTCTATGGTCATGAGCCACATCAGGAAAAAAAGCGAGGAGTCAGGGAAGCCCAGATTTAAAGTAGCAACTAGACAATGACGAAGTCTTTGGAGATGGGACTAAGGAAAACACAACTTGCCCTGGTTTTTAGGAGCATGACGGAGTCACACATTCACCACTGCTCTGGGCAAGATCTGGGGGCAGGAGCTTCCATGCCCCTCCAGCAGCTCCTTCCTGGAAAGGCTCTCTTCCCTTGCTCTGACTTCTGTCCCTGCTGACTCTCCTCCTCTCTGTCTGCACCATCCTAGGTAACGGCCAACTGGCCTAATTCACCCATGTCAAATCAGAGTAGTAGAGACATACAGGCTTAGTGATCACACTGCAAGAGAGCAGTGGGCAGGGCAGTGAGAGAAGAGCTGTCTGCCCCAGCTAGGGGTCTGAGGTTGTTTTTATACAGAGTTGACCTCTTTTCCATTCCCATCATGCAAGTGAGGGATTGAAACATGACAGTTCTGATTGGTTGGTGTTTATCCCTGCCATGCAAACGAGGGATTGAAACATGGCAATTTGATTTGTTGATGTTCATTCCTATCATGCAAATGAGGGATTGAAACATGGCAGTTCTGATTGGTTGGTGCTCATTCCTGCCATGCAAAAGAGGGTTTGGAACATGGTAGTTTGATTGGTTGATGTTCAGCTTTGATTGTAGACACTCCTTGGCCAGTTGGAGGTTAACACAAGGTGACTCTTGTATATAAAGTTATTGTTTCCACATGCACCTCCTTTAATGGGCCCTTCCCTTCAATGCTGGTGTTCCACCCTGGACCCCTTCTCTTCATGGTGTGTTCTCATGCAGTCTCAGAACTTCAACTGGCATTTAAAATAACCATAGGATTCTAGCGTCCAGATTTCCAAACATATCTCCTTTCCGTGCTCCAGGAAATACACTTTCTGGCACTGCCTGCCTGTAGGACATCTCTGCTAAATGTCCACTGATGTCCCCGATTCCTTATGCTGGAATGGGACTTGTCACCTTCACTGCTGGACATGGCTGTCCGCAGGGATGGGCAGCCCTGTCCACCCTGAAGGCAAAGTGGAAAAACTGAACATCCTGAGCCCGTGCTCCCCCACAAGTCCACCTGTTCCATCACATCGCCTCCCACGACTCCCCAGATCTCTTGAATCCACCCACCTCTCTCCACCCCCCCAACTTTCCCTTAGTTCCCACCAGCATCACCTCATGCCTGCATCACTCCAGGGTCCCAGTGGCTTTCCTAACTCCAGTCTTGCCCCAGTCCAGTCTGGCCCCTGTTGTCTTTCTCAACCAGAAAGCAGATCATATCACATTCTCTCTAAAACATGTTCACAGCTTCCCAAGCACAAGAGCTTGGTACAGAACTGTGGGATCACATACAAGAGCCCGTGAGAGGACTGAGCCCTTGGAACTGTGGTTCCTCCTCACTGAGAGGGGCTGAAGTATCAGACACACACCAGATTTGAAGGCTCACCATGACAAAAAAAGACTTAGCATGAAATATTTTATTCACAGTTATTTAGATTGAGTGCGTGTTCAGATGATAATGTTGCTGGATATTCAAGCTAAATAAAATATATTTGAAAGCTAATTTCAACTTGTTTTTTTTTTAACTTTTTTAATATAACTGCTAGAAAAGTTAAAATTATGTATGTGGTTCATATTCCCTTTCTACTGGACAGCAGCGGTGCAGAAAGCCCTTCCCATCTGGCCCCTGATGACCTTGCAACCGTGTCTCTCTCACTGCCTTCACCCTTGACCTCCTCCCCTGAGCCCCTCAACTCTGGCTTTCTCTGCACGTTCTTGAATAGCCCTCTTGCTTTCTGGTCTTTGTACATGGGCATCCCCTCTCCCTAGAACATTATTTTTTTAAGTTGGAGCCTAATTCTGTCACCCAGGCTGAAGTGCAATGGCACAATGATGGCTCACTGCAACCTCGACTTACTGGGCTCAGGTGATCCTGCCACCTCAACCTCTCGAGTAGCTAGGACTACCAGCACACAACACCACACCCAGTCTTCTGTGTGTGTGTGTGGAGAGGAGATCTTGCTATGTTGTCCAGCCTGGTCTTAAACTCCTGGGCTCAAGCGATCCTCTCACCTTGGTCTCCCAAAGTGCTGGAATCACAGGCATGAGCCACTACACCTGGCCCCCAGAACATTCCTTCTAACAGGTCAACTCCCACAGGTCTCCCAGGACACAGGTTTGCAGGATCTGGGAAGGATTTCATGAACTCAAATGTTGTCTGTTACTCCAACTGCCCAACACTCCCTTGCTCCAGGGGGGTCCCTGCCACATGGCCTGTATTGGCCTGTGACTGAAGCCTGACCTGGATCATACATTTCCTGAATTCTACTCATTACAGGATCCACAGTGCAGGGACTACTGGAAGTCCCAGATACTCAATATCTATGGAAAAAAAGAAATACAGCCAACAAACCTAGAGTCTAAAAACATGTCTAGTAAAAGGTAGATTTACATTCCTAAAAAAAAGCCATCAACAAAGAGAGATAAAAATACTAGGGAGCTATGCTCTTATTACTGGGTTCAAGCTAGTGAAGTCTTTTTAAAGAACGGTCTGACCTATTTAGCAACTTTAAAATGGTTGGACCTATTGATTGGCTAAGTCCATGCCCTTTGACTTAAACCACGGAAACACCAGGCCACGAGTGAAAACATAAACTTACTAGTAAGTTCCCCCTAGCAACATAGGCAATAGCAAAACATTAGAAAAAAGCAAAGTATCTCATCATTTACAATGGAGGTTATAAATTATCCACATCCCTTTGGTGGAATAGCACATAGCTGCAAACCAGGAAATAAACTCCATGTGCTAAAAAGGAACAATGAGGAGGGGCGCAAAGGTGGTGGAAAAGTGAAGACATTATATATTGTTTCCTCACCTTTGTGTATTTCAAAGATTTGTGCATCTACAGCTACACAGACTTTCATTAGAAATAGACCCTAGGCTGGGCGCAGCGGTTTACACCTGTAATCCCAGCACTTTGGGAGGTGGAGGCAAGAGGATTGCCTGAGTTCAGGGGTTTGAGACTGAGCAACATGGCAAGACCTTGTCTCCACAATAAATCAAATAAATTAGCCAGGCATGGTGGCACACACTTGGGGTTCCAGCTACTTGGAAGGCTGAAGTGGAAGGATCATCTCAGCCCAGCAGGTCAAGGCTGCAGTGGCCGTGAGTGTGCTACTGCACTCCAGGTTGGGTAACAGAGTGAGACACCAACTCAAAAAAGAAAGAAAGAAAGAAAGAAAGAAATAGACCCAAGAAAATGTGCATTCACAAGGTAACTGTGGATCCAAGGGGGAAAGATAAGGGAGGCAGTCTTTACTGCACCCCCTCATTGAGCTTGCTAATTACATGCACAAATAACTTTTATCATAAAAAACACTAATGAGGGCATTCTGGTGTCTTTTCCTCTATGTCTGTGCAGCCAAGGAAATGCACCAATGATTCCCTCCAACAAGATGAACAGACAGTAAAACAGCAACATGAATGTGACATCACCTACCGTGATCTTTTTGTGATCAGGAAACTCAAGGCCAAAATAGTCGCCTTCCACGAGGTTGAGGTGGTTGCAAACTGCATCCAGCAGCACCTTCCCGGGAGCTCTTTGCTGCAGACAGAGACAACAAGGGTTATACCCTGAGACAGGCCATGGCTTCTTACTCCTGGGGCTGCGGGTCCTGCACAGCTCACCACCGTATGGCCAGAACCAAGCCCCATCCACACCACTATGCCTCCAACTCCTGCTGTCCCCAGACTTAAATGTGAAGCTCTGCCATTCTCCCTACCCCAATCCCAGGCCCCTCCCCCCAACTTTTCAAGTAATACACCTCATTTTTTTTAAAGTAGGATTTATTGAGAGTACAGTAAAGCTCCCAGAGTGGGAGGGGACCCAAAGGGTTGCCCTATACCTCATATTTAAGACAAGTTTTAGGTAAACAAAAAAACAGCAAAAATACACCTCTCCACGCCATACACACAGTATCCCCTGTTATTAACATCATTATCATTAGTAGTGGAGCACATATGTTGCAATTGTTTTTGTTTGTTTTTAGAGATGGTCTCATCTGTCACCCAGACTGGGATGCAGTGGCGTAATCATCCGTCACTGCAGCCTCGAACTCCTGGGCTCAAGCAATCCTCCCGCCTCAGCCTCCCAAGTAGCTGGGACTATAGGCACACACCACCACACCCGGCTAGTTATTTCTATTTTTTTGTAGAGATGGGGTTCTCCCTATATTGTCCAGGTTGGTCTCAAACTCCTGGCCTCAAGCAATCCTCCTGCCTCAGCCTCCCAAAACAAATACATGTATTATTACAATCGTTGAGCCAATAGTGATACATAATCACCACTCACATGCTATAGTTGACATGAGGCTCATGCTTGGTGTTGTCAAGTTCTGTGGGTGTTGACAAATGTACAGTGCCTTGTCTCCACCATGACAGTATTACACAGAATAGTTTCATAGTATGAAACTAGATTCACCCTAAGACTGATTGTGTTCTACCTAATCCTCTCTCTGTCCCTCTTATTCCCTGGCGCTCGCTGATTTTCTTCCTGTCTCTACAGCTTGCCTTCCCAGAATTTCACATAGTTGGAATCAGAGAGTATGAGGCCTCTGCAAACTGGTTTCTTTCATGTAGTGATGTGCTTCTAAGATTCCTCTGTGTCTTTTCATGGCTTGACAGTTCATTTCGTTTTATTGTTGAATAGCATTCCATGGTCTGGATATAACACAGTTTGTTTATTCATTCACCTACTGAAGGCCTTCTTGGTTGCTTCTGGTGACCTTCTGGTGACCTTCTGGTGACGATGAATAAAACTGCAATAGATATTTGTGTGCGGGCTTTGTGTGGACGTAAGTTTTCAACTCACAACCCAGGCCTTTTTTGGGACAGTCGAAACCCTGCTCCTGAGTCCCTTGCTTCCCCCACAAATATGACGGCACTGATGGCTTTCTTCCAGGTCCTGCAGCACCTCATGCAGACTCTCACCTGGACTATCCTCACATTAAAGAAGAAGGCTATCTGTTATTCATCCCTTTATTCCCAATCCCTAAAGACCAACCAGGTTTTTTGTTTTTTTAAATAAATGAACAAACAAGTCAATAAAAGTAACCTATAGACTGGGCATGGCGGCTCACACCTGTAATCCCAGCACTTTGAGCCTAGGAGTTCAAGACCAGTCTGACAACCTAGCAAGATCTCATCTCTGCAAAAAAAGTAAAAGGTTATCCTGGTGCAGTGGGACACATCTGCAGTTCCAGCTACTCGGGAGACTGAGGTGGGAAGATCACTGGAGCACAGGAGGTCAAGGCTATGATGAGCCATGACTGTGTCACTGCACTCCAGGCTAGGCAACAGTGAAACCCTGACTCAAACAAACAAACAAGCAAACAAACAAAGAACCAGTGACCCATCCCACTGTATTATGCATGGTTTAGTACTTATGAACGAATTTGTGTCCCCAATTAATTTCAGGACACTATTCATCTTTATAGTGCTATTGACTAGTAAAACACCTGGAAATCAATCAGCGTCTGCTGAAATCAACACTATTTATGCATTATCTATACACTGGCTCTATAGAGAAGGGAACTGCTATATACGAGAAAATAATTTCTACCCTAAAGACCTTAGGATCACATGACTCAGTTTCTCTTCACTACCAGGTAGATTTCTAAGGACTCCCTAGTAAAATGGGTCAAATCCCACCATCTAGAACAAACCCTGGGATAAGAATGTTTCAAGACATCTCCATCTACATTTATTAGTTATATACTTCACCTCTTCCCTGAGAAGAGCAGAGGACTTTAGGAACCTATCAATAATCCAGGAAACTGAGTGACAGCAGGAGTCAAAGTTGGCTGAGACCCTGCCTAGCATGTGAGGGGAGCCAATAAACATGATTTCACTAAGTGCCTTTTTTGTTTTTGTCTATCTGTTTGTTTGTTTGCTTTGAGTCAGGGTCTCACTCTGTCACTCAGGCTGAAGTGCAGTAGCACGATCACAGATCACCATAGCCTCGACCTCCTGGGCTCAGGTGATCCTCCCACCTCAGACTCCCAGGTAGCTGGCACTACAGGCGTGCACCAACAAGCCTGTCTAATCTTTTGATTTCATTTTGTAGTGGTGAAGTCTCATTATTAAGTTGGCCAGGCTGGTCTTGAACTCCTGGGCTCAAGTTATCCTCTTGCCTCAGCCTCCCAAAGTGCTGGGATTACAGGTTTGAGCAACTGTGCTCAGTGCCTTTTTTGGTCTTTAAACAGATGCCACTTTTACGCTCACATACTCAACCTCATTGAAATCCAGAAGATATGCACAACTATTTGAGGTGGGCACCTTCCCCATGGATGATCCCAGACTCTAGACCTTGAATGCCTGGTCCAAGGGTCACTGGCAGGGTCATTTTACCTGCATGAATATCAGGAGTCACATGTGACTGCCTGTAAGCCACATTCTTCCCTGTCATGCCCTCCCCACACCACCCTAGGCACACTTATCTGGAGAAAGGGATTCAGGAGAGCAGAGGTGATTACCACACACAGATCTTATTTCCCGCCTGTTTGGTACCACAATCTGCCCTGGTTCCAACACAGTGGGTGCATGTGGGCATTCTCCAGCTAGGCTACACAGTAGAGGGCAATGAGCTGCTTCGTGACAATCCCTGGTCCTGGGTTTGAGGTCTCATACAAGCCACCAAGAGCTAATGGTTCTCTTATGCACAGCAACTTATTCTCGGTGACTTGTTCTCCTCTCACGCAAGTAAAATAGGTAGACATTAGTAAGAACATCGTTAAAATGGGCCAAGGAACAAACATATGAAAAAATGCTGCAGAGAAATGCAAATTAAAACCACAATGAGTTATCACCTCACACCAGTCAGAATGGCTATTATTAGAAAGCCAAAGAAGAACAGATGTTAGCGCAGTCGGAGAGAAAAGGGAATGCGCATCCACTGTTGGTGGGATTGTAAACTAGTTCAACCTCTACGGAAAACAGTATGGAGATTACTAAAGAACTAAAAGTTGAATTACCACTTGACCCAGCAACCCCATTCCTAGGGATCTACCCAAAGGAAAAGAAATCAATATATTAAAAAGATACCTGTATGTGTATGTGCACTGTGACACTATTCATAATGGCAAAATCTTAGCCAACCTAAGTGCCCACCAATGATTGACTGGATAAAGAAAATGTGGTATATATGCAACTTGGAATACTATACAGCTATAAAAAAGAATGAAATTACATCCTTTGCAACAACACGGAGGGAACTGGCGATCATCATCCTAAGTGAGTTGACTCAGAAACAGAGAACCAAATTCCACATGTTCTCACTCATATGCAGGAGCTAAATGGTCACAAAGATGGAAATAATTAACTACAGGGAATAGTGTTCACCATCTGGGAAGAAGGCCACTGGAAACCCAACTGCCACCACTACACAGTACATCCTTGTAACAAACATGCCTGTGTATCCTCTGAATCTAAAAGTAAAGATGGAAACAAAACAGGCCAGGAGTAAGAGCTTCTGGAAGAATCCTCATACAATAAGTTTTTTTTTAAAAGAGAAGACTACATTCCAGTTTCACAACCTTCTTTCTCACAACCCTCGACATTTGCTATTTATCACAAAAACGAACCACCAATTATCTTACCAGCTGGCAAGCACTCATATTTCCAAAGAATTCCTGGAACTAAGGGAATTTGATAACTTCATCTAGATTTACAAGAGTCTGGGAAATCAGACTTAACAATTCAACACTAGAAATCTAAACAAGCTAAAAAAAATCAATATACAATGGATGCCTTTATGGGCTTGGTGTTAAACTAAGCACTTTATAAGAGAGAAGAGAAAGAGTTCACATCTAAACCGGGTCCTTTAAGGAGTCAGCCAAGGTGTCTGTGGACATAGCGAGCATATCCTGGCCATGAATTGAGGCTGTGCTGAGTCCCTGAACCTGCAGGCTCACCGCATTTCAAATACAACTGGGGTTCTGTCAGAGACAAGTGAGCCGATGACTGCTTAAATTCCTGCAGAATGATGGGTTCACAGCAGATGCCTGGGATCTACCTTGTAAATGACAAGCCCGGTTTCAATCCTTCAAACATTTCCTGAACATGTATTATTGAGTACCGCTGTTTATAGAAAATGGCTTTTCTATGATACTAAAGATTTTTTAATAGGGAGACGTCAACTTAGAGTTTGAATGATATCTTTATAGCTCCTAAAATTCATCTATAAATGAGATGTCTGTAAAGCATGCCACAAATTCCCCTGTAAACACTGACTACATTCAGGGCTATAAGGAAACCCTGTATATCGCATCACTAGAGTTTATAAGGGTTTATAGTGCTCCCACAACATGACAATTTCATTGGTAAGTGAGACTCTAATGAGGTCCATGGACTCGGCACTAACACCCCAAAGTGTACCAGGCAGCTACTGCCTAAAATGCTTCCAGACATGACGATGCCGTGGTGTATGTTCAAGGACTCTATTTCACTTTCTTTCAGCAATGGGTACAGAACTACCTGGGTGTGTCAATGTACCCAAGACTAAATGCAGCTGCAGAAAAAGCATCTTGGAGAAGTGAGGCAAGGAAA